GACGCCCGGTAACGGGGCCCAAATATCCCCGATTCGTGTTCCTCATAATTTTTTAATAAACAGCACACCACAACTGATTACTCCACTGCGGCATTTATTGAGTCAGCTCTGCTATCATCTAGTAAGCCACAACGATCTGCTTATTTCCTATTCAGTTCTGTCTTTAAACGGCAGATGAAGCGGGTAGTCGGAAATCCACCACCATGGTCCACGACTACTATCGCTCCATCACTGCAGGAGTTCTGGTTAGTAGGATCCCCCAAGGTCATTCCATATTCGGTCTGGTGTTTGTTGAGGTTTATGTCTCTCGCCTATGCTGTCGTTGGCTGGCTTTTTTGGAAAGGTCATACGAGTTATGACGATGATAGAGTTACCCACGGATGACGAATCCGGCAGACCTCGATTGTACTGGCGATATCGCCCCGCCAGCCTCGATCTCTGGTGATACGCGTGAATTAAGTCAATAAATTGGTCGGATCATCTAAAAACGCTGGAAAGACAAGGGTTCTTAGACTGCATCCATAGGCATCGTTCGGTCTCAACGGCTGCCAACTTGAGGAAGTGGATAGGTTCAAATACCTCGGAGCTAGGTTGTTGCCGAGTAGGAAGAGTAATGACGACATTATTTCCCGAATCGATTTTGCTCGCAGCGTTTTTACAATCTTCATTAAGTGTCTGTGGATTTAACGTGATAGTATTACCTACCCGAAAATCCGAATGTACATGGCGCCCGTTCGCTCAATCCGCCTATACACTTGTGTATACATGGGAGACAACTGAGAAATGGAGGTGCCTGACCAACATTGCTTGAGTGTTAATGTCGTATCAAATGAGGTAGTTTGACAATATCGCAGGGCTGACTGAGGTTATTTGTACCTGTGCTTGATACGGCTGTGGTTATGCCTGATTTAGCCGGCCTCGATGATGTCATGGGCGGTACCTCTACACGCGCGTGACGATTGGTGGCAGCGGATCTGGAGAGCTCCACTCATTCTCTTCTTCAGCGACGGGGGCCAAACCCGTATGTCTAGGAACCGCTTCCGTTTCTTGACAA